CAGGTATGTTAGAATTCGATTAATTTACTTTGTTTATCTTTATAAACCAGTTCTTTAAAGCTTTATTTAGTGAAAATATAGTCTGGTTTTTTAAATAAATACTAATACTCACCAACAAAAGTTAAATTATACGAGTATGATTTGTATAAGTTAAACAGCTCTCTTAAACGTTTAAGTATTGGGATATTTACCTTATTTCTTATATTTAAAAAAAGATGCGCTTATCAGAAATGTGTATTCGCGGAAGAAGAATTATTTTGACTTCATACCTGCCAACATACTGGAAACTCCCAATCGAGATCCAAACCGTCGAATTTGTATTGCTCGATGAATCGCACGATGTAATCGACGAATTTGTTTCTAACCGACTGCGAACTAGCGGCCAGTCTGCTGTATTTGTTGTCTTTCGAATCGTTGTATCCTCCCAGACCAATCAGCACCTTGACGCCGTTCTTCCGTCTAATTTCCATCGCTTTTCTAAGAAAGTTTCTATAAAGATCGGCTGAATCGTCGATGTCCAGCGTAAATGTTTCCTCGTCCAAAGTGGCAAAGGCGTAGACGACGTGCGTGCAGAGCTCACCGTCGATATCTTCCGGCAGGAATTTGCCGACGCTAACTCGTTTCGAAGACCAATTCGTGTAATAACAAACGACTTTTTTTTCATTCACATTCTCAGCAATTCTGAATCTTGGCAATATGTTGATCTAATGAAATCATAAAAAAAAAAGAAATGCAATTTTGATTAAAACAAGGTTTTTTTTTGTAGTTTTGCAATTGAGTAATTATTTGCATTAAAAAAAAAAAGTGTCCTATTTGTCCAATACACACGAACTTGAGGATTTTTGCATTTGGTGTTCTCCGGCCAGTCGCATCGGTTTTCGTTCCAGTACAATCCGGGTGGACAAGATTGTTCCGAGATTTTGCCGAAGTTGCACAGATAATATTTGCCGCAGTCGTTTTTGTGCGGTATAAACAAACGTCCGTCACAGTCCACTCGAGGCGGTGGACTTGCTTCGATTTCGATACTGTCGTCGTAATCCGAATCGGTCGTCGTTGTTATTGTTGGCGGTGTTGGTGTAGCAGGTGGTATGTAAGTTGGTCTCGGCGATGTGGTAGATTCGCATGACGGATATTCGGTGACAGTTGTTAACTCGATGTCAGTTTGACCAACGTCGGTCACGATCGCCTCTATATATTTCGAATATTGTTTTGTAAAAATCAAATTTCTTTCATTTTCTTATTCCAAATATATTTTACATATATAAAATATTATTATATATAAATTTGAATAATATTTTATGTATATAAAAAAAATATTGTTCAGATATTTTATATATATAAAATTGGTCTTATATGTATAAAATATACAAACCAATTTT